GTGTCCGAGGGGCGTTTAGATGCTCCTCCCCCCCCCCCCTCCCGCTCGCCGCTTGCTTCTAACCAGGTTTCTTTCTCCTCCCCTCGGCAGCGCGGGGGTCGCGGGTCGTGGGCGGCGGATGGCGAGCCCGGGATGTGGCCGTGCCCGGAGCCGACGTCTGCGGGTCCGTGCGGCTGGTGGGTGAGTGCACGTTGACGGCGCGCCCGGTGTCTTTATCCCACGCTCGCTGCTTGCCCACCCGCCCGGCGTTTCGGCGTGGGGGGCGCTTATAACGGCCCCGCGCGTCGACGAGAGGGGCATCCGGACCGCGCTGCGTTTCGCGACTGTCGAGAGACGTCGGAGCCGGTTGCGGAGGCGCGGGGCACTTCCCCGCGTGCGTGGTGAGTGCACGTTGACGGCGCGCCCGGTGTCTTTATCCCACGCTCGCTGCTTGCCCACCCGCCCGGCGTTTCGGCGTGGGGGGCGCTTATAACGGCCCCGCGCGTCGACGAGAGGGGCATCCGGACCGCGCTGCGTTTCGCGACTGTCGAGAGACGTCGGAGCCGGTTGCGGAGGCGCGGGGCACTTCCCCGCGTGCGTGACTTCTGACCGCCGCCGCTCGAGCAGAAAGGGACCCGGGGGTCGATGCCATTCGGGCTTCGCCCCCCCGACACCTCAAACGCGGGCGTCGCGGTCTGTGTCTTTCGCCAGCTTGGTTTACGAGCAATCGAATTAGACCGTCCTCCCCCCTTCTGCCTTGTCTGGTACCCTCATTTGTTGCATACAACTACACGTATGTGTGTGTGTGCCGATAACTGTAGAAATCAAGCGTGGAGATGGTGGGTAGACGGAAAATTAATGTAGACATCTTCTCTCTGAACGGGTGCAATAAAACAGCACTTTGGACAGAGACTCACGAGGCCTGAGCTGTGACTAGAAGCCCGGTGTCCTGTAATGACTGACCCTGCTTATCCTGGGACTTTCCTCTAGTGTGACGATGAGGGAGAAGGCTAATAGATGACTCTTTTTTGTGTTATATAGTTGTCTCGTTTAATGGGAGAGGTGTTATACTGAGCAGTATTTTCCAGTACGATCAGAACGTTTCTCTCTCCGTGATACAGGACTCTGCGCTCGTGATTCAAAGACTGTTATAGCAACCTTTGTTCAGCGCATTTGAAATGCTGGGATCATAGTAATGTAGTTGAGGAGTAAACATGGGGTAAATGCATCCATTTCCACAGAACAGGGACAGACCTCCTAACATGCGTACTTAGTAACATACAATTTGTTTCCTTCCCCGCAGATGTCTTTTCATTCCAGTTTTGCAAAATTGCGTTAGCCTTGGGTGAGCAATTTATTTTGACTGGCATGTAAAATATTATACTTGCATACATTCATTGTGATAAAGAGCAAGCAAGTATATTTTGTTCCTGGGCTGGTAAATTTTCATGATGATTATCCAAGGACTCTTTGTGCTACACAGTACCAGAAACTTACCCTGGTATATTTGACAGTTTTATAATGTTTGAACATATTGTAGCCATCTGGAAGAATCAAACTTATATTCCGTGGAGGATATGAAACGATTGGGAAGATAAAAGGAGAAAAATGGGGTCAGAGTCTAGCAGCATGCAGCTGTAAGACCTATTATTTGGGACAATTACAGAATTAAAAGCATTAACGTGGTGAAAGTAGGTGTATTTATAACGTACTGGAATATCATTACATTGCCAGAAGCAAATTGGTTTTACTGAATTAACTCTCAGTTCAGTATTGCATTGTGCCATCTTTATCGACACAACCATCCAAAATAAAGTTGCTGGTGGAGTTTCTGAATTAACAAGTGAGGCTTGAGCCTGATCAGCCTAGCTGGCAGTAGGGATTGATGATTATTAACCTTAAGCGTTTATGTAGGTTGTTAACAAGACATTGCAGTCTAAATGTGTTGCTTCAATATGGATCTAACTGTCACTGTCGTCTTTTAAATTTTAGTTTTGAGCCTTCCTGTGACAGAAATAAAGTTATTTCACTGAATACCAGGACAAAGAAAACTTCCTAGCTTAGTTTTAAACTATGGAACAGATTTCCAAGGAAGTTGTAGAAGTCTTTTTGCTTGGGGCACTTAACATTTAGACTGAGGATGGTACCAGCTAATGTAAAACAGGGAGCAGTCTTGCCTTGGCTGTTTTCCCTGGAGCTTGTCATTTTCAAACTTACCTTTTGAAGAGTAAATATTTTGCCGTTTGCAGGCAGCAGATCGCATAAACTTCAAAACCTTCTGTGTGGGAAGATCCCTGCAATCCCCATTTCCAATGCATAAGCTGAACTAGGTGGTGTTCTGTCAGTCTATTCTAAGTATGTTATTTTCCCCAGGATCCATCTTATAAATATTTCCTTGGCCATGGTTATAGGCGAGAGTTTGTTTGAAGGGAAATTCTGAATAAATTCCCAGGCCTTATCCATATTCTCTTTTGCAAACAAGTGTACTCAGGATACCGGTTCTATCATAAAATGGGGAGGATTGCTTTCACTGGAGCTTCCTGTTATAATATTGTTGGAATATCTCAGTAACAGTCCCTTTCCATCTCTCATATCTGTAAGGTCTGTTGCCTTACATTTATTGGTTATGATGATACAACATCTGCTGATGTGCTGCTGAGGAAGGGAGAGAGATGGAATGGTGAAAAGTCTAAGGAGACATAGTTAATTTGAAAGGATTCTAGAAATTTGAATGGAGCAATTGCTCTCATGGGACTACAACGATATTGCAGGGGGTCAGGCTAGATGATCTGTTCAGGTCCCTCCTGACCCTAGCTACTATGAATATGTGGCTTCAGCCAGGTGTAATATGGGTTTGATTCCTTGCACAGCAGTCATAGTGTTCCTGACTCCTAGTCTGCTGCTGCTCCTGCTGTTTCAGCTACAGCCTCTACCATGCTGAGGCAACCAGTTGTGTTAGGTTATGCCATCTTGTTTGTGGGGTAGTTTTATGATGGGCATGGGGAAGGGGAAGGGGACTAGGAAGAGACCCATAAAAGTTTCCTCACTTATCCTAAGCAAAACTTGCACTCGGAAGTGAATATCTGATGGGGGTAATCAGCTGCGCCACCAGTACTGAATGATACCACCAGAGCAGAACACAAACCATCCCGCACTAAGAGCTGCCAGCCCATTTGCCCAAAACAACATTGTGGTTTCCTCTACTCACTCTCTTTCCAGGCTCTTAGAACCGATAGCTGGTATTCGTTTTTAAAAATAAATCCTTTTTTATATCTGATCTAAAATGGGCCAACAGGCATGAATGGTTAAAATGCATGGATTTGTATAGTGGCAACCATCTTCATGTTAATCCTTTATACTATACCAACTGGCTGAGTACAATTAACCAGTCTAAGTATAGAGATTTGCATATTGATTATGTACAGAAATAGCAGCATGGCCATTATTATGTAGATTAGATGCTCTAGTAAATTATGGTTCAGAGGATAACATAACTGAAAAATAGTGCAGCTGTGGGTACTACCTTCTTAATAGCCTGAGCTCTGTTTGATTGAAACTGAAAAGTTTTCAACTTAAATTTTTGAAGATAAATAAAGTAGGTAACTTAGATCTGTAAAGAAATAGGGAACTTTGGATTATGTAGATATGTAGAGACAGCAAATAAAATGTCTTAGTTAATTTTGAGGAACAAATCCATTTTAAATGATTAGGTTAGGTAAAAGGATAGAAAAAGATGGAAGTTCAAGTTACCATTCTTCAGTTGATAGGTGTTGAGCTGGTTGTCAGGAGACCTGGATACTATTCCTACTTCTCTTTGACATGCTTTAATACTCCAGCTCCATTTCCCCTTATAAAAATGGGATAACGCTACTTACCCTGCGTTGTAAAGGACTTTAAATACTTTGGCTGAAAAAGTACTAGTATGTATTTATGCATATGTTAATTATTGATGTGTCAAAAGCGAATATTAAGTTTAGGTAGAATTTTGGTTTCCTAGAGGCATGACTTTTGTTGTAAAATTGTAACCTTGGAATAGAAGTCTGAGTTTTATTTATTAAATGCTTTAAGCCTTTCAGTTTACAGACATTTTAATAATTTGTGCAGGCCATGTACGCACAGATCTTTTTCAGTTTTGCCCTCTGCTAACACAGCTTTCCACCTATGTGGACTGGAGCTTTTAGGTTGGAGCTGTTCTTTATAGGAATATCATCAGATCTTTGGGATATTATTTAAGTTGCTTTCCCTGTTGCTGGAATCCATGTCTACTTGACTACACCAACATACCATACTCCTGCATCATGGGTTGTATAATGACCCTTTAGAAGTGAGTTTGAAGTAAGTACAAACTACCCTTTAAACTAGTTACTAAATTGGATTTACTTCACCAGTAATGGAAAGGAAGATGATAATGTTTAAGTTGGCATTGACTTTCCAATCTGTTTTCCTCTATCTAAAAAGAAACTGCAGTGGCAGCATTAATTGTTGCTTCCCTGCTGCCAAATTTCAGGATCTGTTGGGAGCCCTGTGGGCTGGATAGTGTGGCTCTACACATTAGGTTGGACAGGCAGGACTGGGGTTGGATTGGGGTGGCATAGGGCCTGACTCTGCAAGGGATCTGGTCCATGGACTGGCCCTATGCTGCTTATCTGGCCTATGGGGCTGAAAGGCTGAGCATCACTAATATAATATATTGACTATTTTCAACCATTAAGCAGTTGGTATAGCTATTTAGTATTCATTGACAGATTATTACTCCTCAGACAAATTCTGATCTCAGCTATGCATGAAAAGGTCTAGAGTACCCATAGATTTGCAGTGGTGTAATTGAGAACAGCATCTGTTTCTGTGGTGTGTTTAGAAGAACAAAGTACTGTGAATATCTTTTACTATGGGTATTTTAGGAACCCACATTGTATTCCTGTCTGGTTTCTGTGGCTGAATTGGTCAGTGGCTTCTGAGCAGGTCATCTAATTATTAGTGGTTTGGGGTGGGAGGCAGGACTGTGAACTGGAATCCTATTTCAGCATGTGATCAGTGAATAGCTTGGCACGTGCAACTGTTACAGTAATGAAAGGTCAGGAGGCAGTGTTGTTTAGTGGATTGATTATGGCTCCTGGAGTCTGAGAAGTTAAATTCACTTCCAGGTTTTGTCACTGGCTCATGAAGGGCCAGATCCATGAAGGTGTATAGGGGTCTA